AAAGAGAGGAGCAGTCAGCTCAAGAATTATTTAGAACTGATTATTTTCTTGTTATAGTCGATATGGCTATTTCTCAATTAAAGAGCAGGTTCGAACAAATGCAAGTTTTTCAATCTATGTATGGTTTCTTATTTGATGCGGCAACTTTAGTTTCACTAGATGATAAGGAATTGGAAATATCTTGTATGAATCTTGAAGTGGCTTTAAAAGTTGTTGATGTTTCCGATATTGATGGAAAATGCTTATGTTCTGAATTACAAGTATTGCAACTAATGTTACCTGATGAATCATATGAAAAAAATGAGCCATGGACATCTATTAAAATAATGCAATTTGCAAAAGATATGGATATGTTCCCCCATGTTATGATTGCTTATAGATTATTATTGACTTTGCCTGTAACTGTAGCGTCGGCGGAAAGGAGTTTTTCTAAATTGAAGTTGTTAAAATCGTATTTGAGAACAAGCATGAGTCAAGATAGATTGAACGGGCTTGCTATTCTATGCATCGAAAAGGATATCATTGAAAATCTAGATTATGGAGATATAATTGGTGATTTTGCCGCTAAAAATGCCCGGAGAAGCCTTTTTAAGTAGTTCCCTTTTTTTTTTGTTGCAGGCATGGTGATTATTTGATGCATCTAAAATTGTTCTCGAGATAGTGGAAGCACTAGTGACATTATCTTTTGGAAGGTGAAAGCGCCTCGAGACATTATCATTTTGTACTCGACTCTATTACATCTTTCTTGTTTTTAGCTTTTGTAATGTTTTGTTTTTAGCTTTTGTAGTGAGGTTGTAACTTGTTAAGAACTATTATATAAATTATCTTTCTTTAAAAAAAAATTGAATCATTGTTTGTATTATTTGAAATATATCATTTCATTTATAGCGTAGACAAAGTACTTGGGGCATCATTTTTTGTATTTGGCCCAGGGCCTAATAATATTCAGGGCCGGCCCTGCCTGTAGTCCCACATCGAAGAAGTGCTTTTACGCCCCGGCCGATGACCTGTTTCCGTGTACCCCGATTGCGATGGAGCACACGAAGAAGTGCTTTTACGCCCCGGCCGACGACCTGTTTCCGTGTGCTCCCATCTCGATAGATCGCGTTTTGTTGAATTTTTCTTCTTGGGTCGACCTCACGGATTTTCCTTCACTGCAGGTTCTGTGTATCCCTGTTGATCAGGGTGAAGCTGAGAGTCGATGAGATGATTCAGGTACCGTACAGTCGCAGGATCGGCCGCTTCAACCTCCTCGGCAAGCCTCCGAAAATAATCATGATCAGTCCATCCACTCGCCGATGCACTCTGCTGACCTGTCCGTACCGAAAATTTAAAGAATTATACAATCACCTCTAGTGTGCTCCAGAAGACGTGGATGTCGTCGGTCGTAATACTTCTACGTACAGTGTGTGCCTCCTTTAGCTCACAGGCACAAGGAAGTCCATGAGTGTATTTTAGTGCACAATCGCAGAGCTCCGAAACATCTTTGTCGAAGTCTCGCATCTTCTGAAGCTCATCATTCAATATATCAATACAGTAATGCGAGACCCGCAGTGTCAACTGCTCGAAAGGGAATTCCCTGCAGCCCGTACTCATCCTAAGTCTCGAAGACTCCAGCGTCTCCCTGGTAATACATTACATAACATAACATTTGACCGAAGTAAAATTTATAATCAATGCATTAATAACACAGTGTTACAGTATAAATTAAAAAAATATACCTGACTTTAGTCAGTTGAGAATCAATCTCTTTGTCAATCTTCTCCCAAACCGTGTCGAGCGAACCAGTCGACGTGTTAAGCCACCGCTTCAACGTAGCGTGGGAACTCTCCACCCTACACGACGTTGTGTTGCCAAAATGTAAGACA